TGGTGGTTTCTACTGAAAGGGCTGAAGAAAATACTATTTTAAAATTTTATTTGTAGTGGGGGATAGGTCAATATTTAATCAAATGAGAAACTGATTCACCCATCTCTACCCATCTTACTTCACTGCAGGAAAAAGACTAAACACTCCTGTCATGTTTAAATGACAGGGAACAGTATACAGTAATTTCTCCCTCTCATCCAGGAATGTGTTGAAGCCAGCCCCAACCATGAGAAGGGACTGTTAAATTTGTAGTGTGAGCATTTATGCCATGGAAATCAAACTCTAAATCAGAACTTGATTTACTGTTTTGTTGATTATCTAGACTTAAGAAAATATTAATAGTACAGATTAATCTTAAAAGTGTGTCCTGAATAAAGATGTTTACCAACACATTACTATTTTCATCTGCTACATACTTAGATGTATATGCAGAAAAGAAGAGAACCAAGAGAACACAGTGACAAATTGATATTAATCATTAATTATGTGGCCTTCACTGCTCCTTATAAGGTTATTGTGATGATCAAGTGAAGGGATTTATCTAAAGCTCTTTGAAAAATTGAAAATCAGGTCAAAATGAGTACATGATTGAGATATAAAGGGTGACACCATAAGCAAATTAGAAGAGCAAGATCTATAGGGAGGAGAAGAATTCATGACCAAACAAGAGATAAAGAGCATTACAAAATGGAAAATAGAAAATTTTGAAAACTTGGAAGTGTCGTATAAATGCTAGTTGCTGTTGTTATGTTTGTTGTTGCTATTCACAAACCTAGAAGAATGAAGACAATAGGTACACAGATCCAAGTTAGACTGAAGAGGAGAAAGGAAGGACAGAGATAGGTATAAAAGTGAGATGGTCTCCAACAGAAAGCATTTTACTAATTTTCTCACACTCTCATTTACCTCCAAAAATATTCTCCCTTCATAGATTTCTCAAGCTTTCATGGATTCCATCAGTCTTTCAGCTACTGGATATTTCAGGTAAGGAATTTTTTTTTTTGCTTTTTCCAGTGATTGTGGAGGTTCCATAGATATCTCAAGCAAGTTATACGCCCCAGGAGATTTACATTCTAAGGGAAGATTATTCCCACTGTCCCCATACATAGAACTCCTGAACACCTCTTTTGTAACCAAGGAATTTTTCTACCAGTAGCTCAATCTCCTGCAGTGGAAGCAGGGTAAGGAAAGGGTATCACATAGCCACAGCAAGAGAAGATAAGCAGTGTCTATAGGCAACAACTGTTTGAGAGAGCTGCCTAGGGAACATTATCTGATAGAAGGCATGATGACCATATTGTGCTACCTCTGGCTGGGCTGGAACACAGGTAGATAAAAAAGATTCATTCCAGCAGGATAAAATTTTCTCTTTTTGTTTCCATCCTGATTTATATGGCATTATCTTCTCAGGGGCTATCAGACATATATGGACTGGGAGAAGGAAGAAGGTAATCCATATCCATATTTTGTTTATGGAGCAAGCTGTTCTGAAGTTGAGATTGACTGTCTGACTGGAGCTCATAAGGTAAATGTCTTCTTACTTACAAATATACAATGAAAATTTCTCAGGACATTTTCTCATTGAGTATATGAAATGGAAGAAACTGTTATACACTGAATAGAAAGAACATTGTGATAAGAGTTGGGAGGCCTAGGTTCTAGTCCTAAATCTTCCCTCAACTAGTTGTGTAACCTTTATTGGTTCCTTTTTTTTCTTTTTTATTAATTTACTTTGATTTATCAATAATCACTTCCATATGCTTTTGAGTTTAAAATTTTTCACCCCCTTCCTCCACATCACACTCCCCAAGATGGCACACAATCTGATATAGGCTATACATTTACATTCATATTAAACATATTTTCACATTAGTGATGTTGTAAGTAGAAATTAAAATCAATAGGAGGAATCATCAGAAAGAGGAAACAAAACTTAACAAAAGAGAAAAAAAAATAACACTTCAGCTTCCATAGTTCTTTCTTTGGGTGTGGATAGCGTTTTCCATCACAAGGCCTCTGGAGATGTTTTAGATCCTTGTATTGCTGGGAAAGGTTAAGTTTATCAATATTAGTAGTCATCACACAACATGGCTGTTATTGTGTACAACGTTCTCTTGGTTCTGCTCACTTCACTCAGCATCAGACCATACAAGTCTTTCCACGTTTTTCTGAAGTCAATCTGTTCATCATTTCTTATAGCACAACAGTATTCCATCACATTCATATGCCACAACTTGCTCAGCCACTCCCTAATTGATGGGCATCCTCTCAATTTCCAATTCTTAGCCACCACAAAAATAGCTGCTATGAATATTTTTGTACATATTTGTTCCTTTAAGGCAGCTAGGTGGTGCAAGGGATAGAGTATTGGACCTGGAGTCAGCACAGAAACAAGTTCAAATCCAGTCTCAGAAACCTACCAGTTGTGTGACCTTGGCCAAGTTACTTAATCTCTCTTTGCCTCAGTTTCATAATCTATAAAATGGGAATAATAATGGCACCTATCTCCCAGGCTTGTTCTAAATATAAATAAGATAAAATTTATAAAGCACTTTGCAAACCTTTAAGTGCTACAAAAATGTGAGCTATCATTATTAATTTCTTAATCCTTTGTAATCAGAATTTCATCCTTACTACTATTCTAAAACTTTTCTCTTCAAGTTCACCATTTCCCACTTTATTAGTACAGCTAATGGACTGTTTTCATTCCTTATCCTGTTTTTTTACCTCTCCACTCTGTTTAATGTTGTTGACTCCTCTCTCATCTTCTTGTTCTCCAACAACTAGGGAGCACTTCTCATTTTCCTTCTTGGGATCATTGTCCACGACCCTTCTTCTATGTATGGGTATCAACCTCAAATTTGTCTTTGACTGTCTCTTCACCTTCTACATTCTTGGTGATCTCATAAGCTCCCCTGGATTCAATATTGGTTCAATGAAGAAGGCTCCCAAATCTACATGTACATCCCTCCTCTCTCTCCTAACCACCAACCCAGCATCCCCCTGTAGTTTCCCATAAGCATTTCAAACTCATCATGTCCAAAGTGGAACTTATTATCCTTCTGCCTAAAGCAACTTCTCCTCCTGACTTCTATAATCCCATCAAGGATGCTGACCTTCCAATCACCCAGAGTCATCACGGCAACTTCATATCATGCTTGACTCTTCACTGTCACTCACCCCGCATATCCAAATCAGCTTCCAAGTCTTGCTGATTCTATCTTCTCAATAACTCTCATACTTGTCCCTTTTTCTCCACTCCCACTTCTAATTTAGATCATCACCTCTAGTTTAGACCAGACCAAGTTAATCTCCTTGTCTCTAATTTCTCCTTTCTCTAATCCATTGTCCACATAGGAGCCACACTGATATTCAGAAAGTATAGTTCTGACCATATTATCCTTCCTGCTCAAGAATCTTAAATGTCTTCTCATTGCCTTTAATATAAAATATAAATTCATCAGTTTGGAATTTAAAACCCTTTCCAATCTAGCTGAAGCCTATCTTTCTAGGCTGATCACACATTACTCCTCGTAACACTCCATATTCTGGCCAGACTGAGCTACTTGCTTTTCCTTTCAAATGATATTCTGTTTCC